CAGTGCAGTCTACTGTGCTGTACTATATACCAGCTGCACTACTGCAGTATACTCTACTGTGCTGTACTATATACCAGCTGCACTACTGCAGTGCACTCTACTGTGCTGTACTATATACCAGCTGCACTACTGCAGTGTACTTACTCTACGATGCTGTACTATATACCAGCTGCACTACTGCAGTGCACTCTACTGTGCTGTACTATATACCAGCTGCACTACTGCAGTATACTCTACTGTGCTGTACTATATACCAGCTGCACTACTGCAGTGTACTCTACTGTGCTGTACTATATACTTGCCTGTTTGGAGTCTGTTTTTAAAAAGTTTTTTGAGACAGGATTTCCTCTCTACAGCAGCCCTGGCTGTCATGGAGCTTGTTTAGTAGACCAGATTGGCTTTGAACTTATAGAGATGCACCTGGCTCTGCCTCCCTGGTGCTGGGATTAAAGGTTCGGTTTGTGCTACCAATGCCTGGCTAAGTTATATATTCTTTACTTTTTTTTTTCTTTGAGACAAGGTTTCTCTGTGTAGCCCTGACTGTCCTAGAACTCACTCTGTAGACCAGGCTGGCCTCTAACTCTGCCTGTCTCTGCCTTCTAAGTGCTGGTATTAAAGGCATGTACCACCATTGCCTGGCTAAGTTATGTATTTTTAATGTTAATTTTTCAATTAAAATTTATATGTTTAGAAGATGCATTTGTATTAACATGGATCTCTTGTTTATATATTTTTGTTGCAATACAGCAGTAGCTCTCTAGGTATTACATATTTCCATTCCATTGTTTTCTTTATAGCTGTTCATTTTTAATATGTGCTTAGAAAGTCTCCCATGTTCACTCTTGTGTATCCTCTGATGTTTTTCCAGTGATTTCTCAATGTGGAGGATTTACATGAGTGCTGGGATTACAGGCACGAGCCAGGCACGGTGGAGGCTGAAGTGGAGGATTACCATGGGCCTGCGACCAGCCTAGACAGTGAGTGACAGGACAACTTGGGCTATAGGGTAAGACCCTGTCTTAAGATCAGTCAGTCCATAGTTAGTCAGACTCAAGATTTCCCTATTCCTCCCTGCTCCATTCCACCCCCTTCCCGGCACTGGAGATAAAAGAGTTTTCGTGCTAGGCAAGTGTTCTCCACTAATTTACATCCTGAGTTCTTTGATATTCTGAACATGCACAAAGTAGGTTAATACAATTAATTGTCATGTGTCTCACCATGTTGCTCAACAATTCTTAGCATATAGCTACTCATGTAAAAGCTGTGCATGGCCTGCCAGTAACCCTAGTGTTGGTGGAGCAGAGACAGGTGGAGCCTGGGAGCTTACTGGATAGCGAGTTTAGCCTAAACAGTGAACTTCAGATTCAGTGAGAAACTCTATCTCAAAAAAATATGAGGGGGGACAGTAGAGGATACTCCCTGTCTTTCTCTGGCCTCTTCATGTGCTTCTGTAGACACACATCACACACACACACACACACACACACACACACACACACACACACAGAGTGTAAGAGCTCAGCCATAGTAACAGGAACCTAGAAAAGAATATAGATCCCATGGAGTTATATTGGTAAATGTGAAAGAAATCAGTAATACGCTTACCTGATGTGTGTAAGGGCAGGGGAGGAGATGCTGGAGATTTAGAGTGAAGAGATATAAGAGTTATTTCAAATGGGATTGTGTAGGCAAGAACAGAATTGCTAGGACCTACTTTGGGATTAATGGTAATGAATTTAAAACAAGACCACTGTTCAAATAATCACCCCGACCCCCCAGTTTGTAGTCAGAGTAAGGGATGATTCTGGCCCAAAATACCTCAGGCCCAAAACCTTTTCTGCCTTTTGCCTCCAAACTATTATACTAATCAATGCTTTTTAGTGGGTTCTAGAATACATCTGTTTAATTAAAGTCAGTTTTGAACAGGTCATCAGTTGATATGATTCTTTACCAACCAACAGGATGTTTACTCAGATTTGCTTACACCAGGTGCCATAATTTATGGGGAAAAAAGCTTAAATGATGAGTTTCTTTTTATGCATTACATAGTTATTGCCATCAATTTGAATTAGTTTGTATTACGGAAAAGATGCTCAGCAGTGATGAACACTTATAAACCCAGCATTTGGTAGGTAGAAGAGAAGGTTAAGAATTCAAGGGCATCCTTGGATGTGTAACAAGTTCAGGACCAACCTGGACTACATAAGACCCTGCCCAGCATGGTGGCACATGCCTTTGATTCTAGCACTCAGGAGCCAGAAGCAGGTTGAGCTCTGTAAGTCCAAGGCCTGCCTGGTCTATAGATTGAGTTCCAGGACAGCCAAGGCTACACAGAAAAATCCTATCTCATAAAACAAACAAAATATCAAAAACACCCCAATTTGTTCTTTGCCTTTCAGTTTGAGCCTTCTATTTTGATTTTGAGATTGAGTTCAGAGGAAGTTCAAAACCTACTGAGAGAGTCTATGGAGTGAAGAAGACAGATATTTAAGGGTAATAGTTAAGGCAATTAAATAAATGTCTACCCTTTAAAACTGAATTGTTATTTAAATGGGGCAGGATTTTATAGCACAAGAAATGAACATTCTAAAAATGTACTTGTTTGATGTTTAGCTTTGTTTCTCTGAGTATTTTAAAATTAAAATTTAGATTTATTATTATTATTATTATTATTATTATTATTTGTGTGTGTGTGTGTGTGTGTGTGTGTGTGTGTGTGTGTGTGTGTGTGGTATGTAGGTCTCCGTGTGCCATGGTGTGTGTGTAGAGGTCAGAGGACAACTTTGGGAGTCACTTCTCTCCTCCCACCATGGTTTCTAGGGATTGAACTCGGGTTGTCAGGCTTGCATAGTAGAAGCATCTTTTACCCACTGAGCCAGCTTCCTGGCCCTTCTCTCAGTCTTTAATTGAAGACTTTGCGCCTTTCCTGGAACTCACTTGGTAGCCCAGGCTGGCCTCGAACTCACAGAGATCCGTCTGCCTCTGCCTCCCGAGTGCTGGGATTAAAGGTGTGCGCCACCACTGCCCGGCCTGAAGACTTTCTTATTATTAATTTCTCTTCCTCCTTTTCTTCCACCTCCTCCTCCTCTTCCACCACCTCCTCCTCCTCTTCCTCCTCTTCCTTCCTCCTCCTCTACCTCTTCTTCCTCCTCCTTCATTCTTTTTCAACTTCTTCCTCTTCTTCCTCCTTCCTTCCTTCCTTCCTTCCTTCCTTCCTTCCTTCCTTCCTTCCTTCCTTCCTTCCTTCCTTCCTTCCTTCCTTCCTTCCTTCTTTCCTTCCTTCCTTCCTTCCTTCCTTCCTTCCTTCCTTCCTTCCTTTTTTTTTTGATTTTTTGAGACAGGGTTTCTCTGTGTAGTTTTGGTGCCTTTCCTGGATCTCACTCTGTAGACCAGGCTGGCTTTGAACTCACAGAGATCTGCCTGCCTTTGCTTCCCAAGTACTGGGATGAAGGACATGCGCCACCACCAAATGGCTGATTTTCTTATAATTTATTATTTATTAATTTTATAATTAAGTAGCATATCAAACTAAACTGCATGTTTTTGATTAATAGTTTGTTTTCATCAGATAAAAGAATATACTAATAAATTAATTTTGAAATTTTCATTTTTATCAGAAATTATGAGTCGAGGATCTCAAGTTCACATTTTTTGGGGTGCTCCAGTTGCTCCACTGAAAATGACGATATCACAGGGAACAGCTTCCTTAATGTCCACTGCCAACACCTGGGAACAAATCCAACTTTTATACAAACAGCATTCTTTATATCTGAAGGCTGAAAATCAGGAGCTTCAAAATCCGAAAGACTACCAAATCCCAGAAACTGCTGGCCCTCCAGATGTTCTTAGTGGTCACCTTTCAACAACTTATGTGACTAGGTCTGCGCAGGTGGAAGATGGTTTCATCTGTTGTGCTTCTGAAACACAGAGTGTAAAGTCCCAGAAGATGAATCCCTCAGGCCGGAGTGGTATGACTAATGTGCAGATATGTGAATTTAAGGACAGAGTTCAGCATTTACCTGAAGAAGAAAAATATCAGAAGTTTCAGTGTGAAAATATGAAACTTAGAGATGAGCAGTCTAAAAACCAGTCAAATCCCTGTGTTCAGAACTTTCAAGCAGATTTGCTTCCATTAGATCATAAATGTACAGCTGAATTGGATTTGGACTGTTGTACTGAACAGATTACTATAGGGCCAGAGGCTGTGAGAACAAAGCCTGTGCCAACTGTACATGAAAGACAGAGTCAGGAGACCGTTTTCTCTGACACAAAGCCTGAGCCAGGGTCTGAGGGAGCAGTCGGGAAGGCCTCAGACCAGAAAGTGTCTACTGACACTGAGTTTCTCAGTATAATGACCTCCAGCCAGTGTGCTTTTCTAGCTCAAGGGAACAATAAAGGGCAAGACTGTCCAAATAAAGGGACTATAAACATGGGGATGGAACCCACAGGAAGTCCAGAAGGAAGACTAGCTGAAGATAATCTTGTTAAGCCCAGGGACAATTCTGAAAACGAGTCTGAGAGTGAGCAGAGCCAGGCGTATTCCCTGGAACTTTTTAGTCCTGAATCAGAAAGCAGTCATGTTAACAGAAACCCTGGAAAAAGTCTTGAAAGTAATATAAGTTCACAAGATCTTTTCAGTAATGAAGAAAACCCCCCACCAAATGAGGTATGCATTGAGTTGTGTGGCTCAGGAATACTGTGTTCCCAACTGAGTACTTTCCACCAAGGTGCTGCTAAAAGAAGCCGGTCCTCTAAAGATAATTTCCATCATTCTAAAGCTCGTTCGGAAGTCCGTCAAGTATCCAAGAAGCCAAAGATGGACTCTACTACAAGAGAGTCGGCCAAAACGGCGCCCCAGAGGATCATGTCTGAATTTAAGGCCATTAAAAAAATATCACTAATAAAAGACTGTGACTCTAAAAGTCAGAAGTATAACTGCTTAGTCATGGTGCTAACCCCGTGCCATGTGAAGGAAATAAACGTAAAATCTGGACCAAATTCTGGTTCTAAAGTGCCCTTAGCAACAGTTGTAGTAATTGATCAATCAGAAGTGAGGAAGAGAGTTGTTCTGTGGAGGACTGCAGCATTTTGGGCACTTACAGTGTTTCTTGGGGATATCATTTTAATTACAGGTGAGGTCATCAAGTACAGTGGTGGCTTGCCCTGTAAAGCTGTGTCCTCTGGTTCTTGTCTCCCAGGGCTCTCTCTTTGCCCTTTGCCTTCCCTCTGTGGCGTGTGTGACGACCTTACTGCTTCCCCAGGCTTAGTTCTCTTCTTCGTTCTCAGCTGCCTTCCCACTCATTATCTCCTCCCAGAAGCCTTCCCTGGTTGTTTCTCATAATCTTCCATCAGGTGACAGTTGAAGTCCTATCATGGGGTTCCTTTTGCTGTCTTGTTTGTTTGTCTCTTGACAGGGTTTCTCTGTGTAGTACTGGCTGTCCTGGAACTGTAGACCAGGCTGGCCTCTGTCTGTCTCTGCCTCCAGAGTGCTGGGCTTAAAGGCATGCACCACCACCGCCAGGCTTCTCTTTGCTGTTTTATGGCTGTATTTATATATGTCTCATTGACACCTTTACTTTATTAGCGGTATTATTATGAAAGGACAATGTTTCTGCACTTCACTCCAGTAGTGCTGTGTACATTAAACTCTTACTGAAGGAAGAGACACAGATGTTGATGGCCGTCTCATGTAGCTCAGACTGGCCTTGAATTTGCTATTATACTCAGCTGAGGATACCTTTGCATTCTTGCTCTCCCTGACTACTTGTCCAATGGAATTTTTGGAGTATTGAAGAAGTTAGGTTTCCCCAACAGTAAAGAGGTGACTGACTGGACCTGTGCTGTGGTCACTTTTAATCAAGGCCATCTTATGTCAAGGTCATTCACTGTGTAATCTTCTCATAGACCTTTTCTAGTAAGTAGAGACAGCCCTGCTACCTGTTTTTTTCCTAACAGCCATATAGTTGTTTACAAATAGGTAACATCAAGTGTCTACTGGAATTGAACAGTTTTTCTATTAAAGGACAGTTAGGGAATACTATTTTTATGGATGCCTTTTAAAATGTATCTTTTTGTTTGTTTGTTTTTTTGTTTTTGTTTTTTTTTCCAAGCAGAGTTTCACTGTGTAGCCCTGGCTGTCCAAGAACTCACTCTGTAGACTAGGCTGGCCTGGAACTCAGAGATCCGCCTGCCTCTGCCTCCCGAGTGCTGGGGTTAAAGGCGTGCGCCACCATGCCCGGCTCCCCTTTTTGTTTTTTCAGACAGATCTTAACTCTCTTGCCCAGGCTGGCCTCAAACTCAGGACAGTTGTCCTGCTTCTGCTTCCTGAGTGCTGGATTACAGGCATGCTACCATGCCTGGTGAAACCATTTTGTTTCATTTTCGCCCTAAGAATTTAGAACCACACCATGCTAGGTAAACACTCTGCCGTTAACTGATATCCCTAGCCCATCATTTTTTTATTTGTAGTAATACCTGAACATGATATTTGGTGTATTTGACATATGAGTGATACAGCCACCAACGTGAAATGAAAAGCTGTTTGGAAATATCTAAAACAGCTGGTCATGGTAGTGAATACCTTTGATCCCAGCACTCAGGAGGTAGAGTCAGGTAGATATCTAAGAGTTTAAAGCCAGTCTGGTCTACATTGTGAATTCCAGGACAGCCAGAGCTACATAGTGAGACCCTGTCTTAAGTATATATGTATGTATGTGTGTGTATTCCAAGGTGAACATGTGGTAGTTTGAATAGTTTGAATATTATATGTCTAAAACTATCTGTGATGTAACTGGTTTCACAGTGAAGTCCTGTGTTGGTTAGTATTTTTATCAACTTAATACAAACTAGAGGCATCAGAGAGTAGGAAACTTCTGTTTAGAAAATGCCCCTATCTGATTGGCCTGTAGGTAAGCCTGTGGGGCATTTTCTTGATTAAGAAATTGGTGCGGAAGGGCCCAGCCCATTGTGGGTAGTGCCTTTCCTGAGCAGGTGGTCCTGGATTGTATAAGAAAGCAGGCTGAACAAGCTGTGGAGAGCAAGCCAGTAAGCAGTATTCCTCCTGGTCTTTGCTCCAGTTCCTGCCCCCAGGTTTCCTCACTAAGTTTCTGCTCTGACTTCCCTCAATGAAAAACTGTAAGCTGAAAGATTAAATAAACTCTTTCTTCCATAGGTTGCTTTTGGTCATGGTCTTCATCACAGCAATAGGAAGCAAATGTAAGACAAGTCCTCAGTGAGAAATACAACTATAAGTCATCTAGCAGATCATTACAAGCAGGAATAAAGTATCTGTGGCTGCCTATACCTACACAGTTACCCACTCACAAGCAATGATGAATAAATTTCCCTTTCAGCAGTTGGACACACCACAGTGTTTATAATTCATTGGTTTCTGAATCAGACAGGTACTGCAGAATATGCTGGAATTCAGACATTTTGTCTCTGTAATTCAGCTATTGTCTTTTTCTTTTTTAGCTTTAAAAATCCCTGGGTCTGGGCTGGAGAGATGGCTCAGCTGTTAAAGGCTAGGCTCACAACCAAAAAATCCCTGGATCTATGCCGGGCGGCAGTGGCACACGCCTTTAATCCCAGCACTTGGGAGGCAGAGCCAAGTGGATCTCTGTGAGTTCTACAGAGCGAGATTCAGGACAGGCACCAAAACTACACAGAGAAACCCTGTCTCGAAAAACCAAAAAAAAAAAAAAAAAAAAAAAAAAAAAAATTCCCTGGATCTGATTTTCAAAATTTTCCAGAATTGTAGAATAGTATACCACTATTGGCAAGGAATAGAAGATGAATAAAAAGTTAACATCATTTCCTAAACAGAACAAAATGTTACATTTAGAAATTGGGTGCCAAATATATTCCAAGAGACAATGCATTGAAAGATTAAAAAAGGACTGAAAAACGTTGTAACTCACACCCATCATACAATAGCTCTTTAATGAGACAAGAATCAATATTCAGGCCTGCTATAAGCCCAACCAGCCAGATAACTAGGAAAGGAATTTCTAGCATTTTCTGACAAAATTCCTTATTAACTTTGAGCTTTCTAAGGAAAGATAGTTGTATCCTTTTACTTGCCTTGCCTTTTGTGAATGATCAGTCACCCATGTGCTTTTCCTTCTTTGCCAAATCAAATGCTGATCCACTCTTGATATTCTGAGCATTGTTATTAGCTCTAGCTTCCGGGAGACTCCTGACTGTGGTGTTTGGTAGTACTACTCAGTGTAGTTCAGTGTCTCTGTAGTACTTGCCACCAATGACTCACACATTAAAAACAGTCTAGTTGAATGTATAATGTGTATTCCGTAAGCTCCCTATGTCAAGGGGGCTACTTCAGTCTGACCCATCATTTTGATATTTGGTATTTTTGCTGAGATAAGCCACAGTGACATATGCCCAAACTGAGTAGCCCAACGAACACATCTACTGTAGATTCTCAATCTGTTAATGAAGAATCTGTACCATATTTCATTTTTGGTACAGCCATAGATAAATGGCCTTGTCTTGTGGCCCAGTGCACTAGTATTGAATTCAGGTCTCCTCCAAGTTCATCCACAGTGGCACTCTTGAAACAGAATAAACCAATTCTGTTACTGATGGCAGCCCATTGGAAGAGTGTAGTATTTTCTTTGGTTGTCATGTGTATAACTTTTGCTGGCACAAATTCTCAGTAGTGTTCATATATTCCATATTATCTAGGCTTGACTATCTTCATGTGTTGTAGTTCCGCCCAAGAAGTTCTTCATATCTATGGTTTTAATGGTGTTGGGACTTGGTTTCCTTTGGGTAGAAGAGGGGAATGTTTCAGTATTTCACTAATGCTGGTGATCTGCCATTTTGGTATGAAATCATTCCTACTGCTCCACACTGGGGGAAAGTAGTGGATTGGGATGGGAAAGGTGAGCTCAGCTGAAGGCAATGTGAATGCCTCTTCCTCCTCTCCCTTAGACTGGGTGACTCCCGGCTTGCTCAGGCCTCATAGGCAAGGGTCTAGGTTCAGAGTTTAAATTAGCTGTTCTATCATTTTTGTGCGTTTGGGTAGGTTTCAGTCTATCAGAACTCTAGTTGCTTGGTGTGTGAGATGTATGCATAATGTTTTGCTATGATTAGTTACTACTGTATGTTTAATAAGTTAACCACAGTCTAAAGGAGTTCATGACATGACCAGATTTTGTTTTGTTCTGTTTTTAGATGTTACTGTTTATGAGGACCAATGGGTTGGTGAGACAGTACTCCAATCAACATTTACCAGTCAGTTATTAAATCTTGGAAGTTATTCACATGTCCAGCCTGAAAAATGTAAGACATAATTGAATGTCCTGAATTTAGGATGTTTCAATTCATGACTTTTTGTTTTTTTTGTTTTTTTTTTTCGAGACAGGGTTTCTCTGTGTAGCTTTGCACCTTTCCTGGAGCTCACTTGGTAGCCCAGGCTGGCCTCGAACTCACAGAGATCCGCCTGGCTCTGCCTCCAGAGTGCTGGGATTAAAGGCGTGTGCCACCACCGCCCGACTTTTTAGCTTTAGGATGGTACAAACCCAGTATGAACATACTTTGGATTTTGATCTTTTCTGGACTAGTGATGCTGCCAGTGGCGGAGAGCCATGGTTCACAGTCAGCCATCTGATTATAAGGTGAACTGCTGAGACTTCATATTGGGCTGTGTTTGGTAATTTCTTATAAAACTATGTGTGTACTTGGAAGACAACCCAGAAACTGCACCCTAGAAATCTGAGTCACAGAAAGAACATTTATGTCCACACAAAATTCTATACTCTTAAAAACCTCAACTGGGAAATAACTCAAAATGTTCTTCAACAAGTAAATAATAAAGCAAACAACAGTAGATCCATATAAAGGAACACTATTCAATACTAAGAGTAGTAGGTAGATGGTAGATTAGGTATATCTAATATATTTTTTGATATATCTTTGATATATGTTGGGGTGTGGAGGCCCAAATTACTCAGGGTCCAAGAATCTGAGCTTCCTTTACCCAGCAGGGCTGCATAGGGGATGATCTGACCATTGGCATGGTTACCAGGTGTTTGGAAAGGTCTACACTTGGCTGTGCGGTGTGCTTTGATCTAGCAAGGGGGAGGTCTTTTGCTTTTCCCCTTGACATTATTATAAAAAGTCCTTTTGAATAAATGGAAAAGGCTAGTGGGTATTGGCCCAGGCCCTTACGAAGCTATCCTGTGTTTCTGTCTTTCTTCTTGTCAGCTAGGTCTCTCTTTCTACCTAATATTTCTTATCCCTCTCTCCTCCTCATAGGAACCCTTTAAAAGGTGGGAGCTGGCCTCCCACAGATGGCACCCTAAACGTGGGACTTAGGTACAGGGGTCCTCTCACAGTGGGATTATTGGAATGCTACCTCATAATCTTCTGTAAGTCTGCAAACAGATATATTAGGGAAGATGTGTGTAAAAATTGTTTTTAGTTTTCTAAACATTTCCATTTGTAATATGAAATTGGAATTCATTTATTTTTATTTTTTATTTTTTGCATTACTAGGATTGAACGTAGGGCCCCAGCCGATGCTAAGCCTGTGCTCTACCCCAAGCCTTGAAAAAGGAATTGAAACTAGAACTTTAAAAGATGATTATGGTAGGAGTAAGCAGGGGCCCCCAGCCTCAGATGACAGCTATGTGCCTAGAAGAGAAAGAAAAAAAAAAAAAAAGATGAGGAAGAACTTGTATATTGTTAGCCTTATAAAGTATTGTGGTTTGTGTTTCATTTTCTTCTTAGGAAGTCTACAAAGTGGTGGTTCTTAGCATTTAGTGAGTTATCTCTGAGATGCTATGGTCCATGTTTACAGAAAAATGTAGATAGACAAAAGAAAAAAAGAAAACATTGTTCTCAGTCATTCTATGGACTTCTGAAGCTTACCTGTGTAATTTCTGAGCCTCCGAGCCTTTGAGATAATTAAAATCCTATTGGACTCATAGACAAATACAGTTTGAAAGCTTTCCTATCATTGCTGAGAAAAACTAGCTTCCTTTTTTGGTGACCATTGCATACATCAATAGTTATTTCTCTAAGTATCAAATAGTGTTCCATTATATGGATCTACTGTTGTTTGCTTAATTATTCACTTGTTGAAGAACATTTTGAGTTATTTCCCAGTTGAGGTTTTTAAGAGTATAGACTTTTGTGTGGACATAAATGTTCTTTCTGTGACTCACATTTCTAGGTGCAGTTTCTGGGTTGTATTCTAAGTACACACATCGTTTGATAAGAACTCACCAAACTCTTGTCCACTGTGGCTATACTTACTTTGAAGTCCTTCCATGGGCTGGGGTATGGCACACTGGTAAAGGGCTTGCCTACTCTATACAAGGCTTTGTGTTTGATCTCTAGCACCTCAAAATACATACATCAATGAATAAGCCAGGTGGAGTATCACATAGCTTGAAACCATATTTGGGAAGCTGATGTAGAATATTATAAAGTTGAGGCCAGCCTAGACAATGATACTGATCAAAAAGGTAGATAAAATCAGAGACTCTGGGTTGATCCCCAACACTGCAAAATAAATAAAATAAATACAACCATTTAGTAGGAATATTACAACTTTATCGATGTATTTTAGAATATCTGTAAGAACAGTTATTATATGTCCTGTTCTTTTGCACAGGAGGATGACTACAGATAACAGTCCATACTGTAACAAAGCTAGAATTAAGTACTTGAAATGTTTTCACCCATAAAGAAACAAGAAATGTGTGGAGATAGGTTTCTTTAACTTGATTTGAACATTTTCTGATGTGTGCATGCATTAAAGCATTACATGGCATCTCATTAATATGTATAATTTTACATGTCAATCAAAAAGAAATACATTTTAGTAAATAAAGAAAATCAAGCTGGGGTTGCAGCACTGTGGTAGAGCACTGATCTAGCATGTACATCATCCTGGATTTGATCCCTAGCACCACAGAAATTAATATATAGGATTCATACCAACAATACCTTTTACAGTTTCTCTCTCTCCTTGTCAACTTTTACTGTCATTCAATTTTTTAAAAAATTTAATCTATTCTAAGAGATGTGTTCTGCAACTCATTGAAGAGTCATTCCCTAATGGTGCAAGACAGCTCTAATATACAAAACATAATTAAAGAGATAGAAGATCTAATTAATATACTTCATAGATTAGGTATGTATATAAATAAGGTCAGATAGAACATGCTGCATCAGAAACACTAACTCTAGATTATATTGTCAAAAACTCAGTGACTTCCATCAAGTAGGAGTATAGCATCCACACTTACCAAAGTGTTACAGAACTGTAATTCATTAGTTAACAACAACAAAAACCAGGTTCTTTTTTTTTAAGTTTTGAAACTTTAAAACAAATTTTGGATTTTAAGGATGGATACAAAATTTTACAGAAATAATATGTATTGGAACACAGAAGGTATATTTAAAGCAGCTAACAGACAAATTTCCCAGTCAAACACTTCTACCAATAAGAGTGAAAGAATAGAAATATAATTCTACCACAGTATATAAAGAACTCAAGAAACTAGACATCAAAATACTGAACAGTCCAATTAAAAAATGGGCTAAAGAGCTAAACAGAATTCACAAAACAAGAATCACAAATGGCTGAAAGACATTTAAAGAAATGCTCAACATCCTTAATCATCAGAGAAATGCAAATCAAAACGACTCTGAGATACCACCTTACACCTGTCAGAATGGCTACGATCAAAAACACCAGTGACAGTCAATGTTGAAGAGGATGTGGAGCAAAGGGAACACTCCTTCATTGTTGGTGGGAATGTACACTTGTACAACCACTGTGGAAATCAGTATGGCGGTTTCTCAGAAAATTAAGAATCGAACTACCTCAAGACCCAGCCATCCCACTCTTGGGCATATACCCAAGGAATGCTGATTTATACCATAAAGATACATGCTCAGCTATGTTCATAGCAGCACTATTTGTAACAGCCAGAACCTGGAAACAACCTAGATGCCCGTCAACGGAGGAATGGATGAAAAAAATGTGGTACATATACATAATGGAGTACTACTCAGCAGAGAAAAATAATGAAAGCATGAAATTTGCAGGCAAATGGATGGAACTAGAAAAAATCATCCTGAGTGAGGTAATCCAAACCCAGAAAGACAGTCATGGTATGTACTCACTCATAAGTGGATTCTAGATATAAAATAAAGAAAGAACAATCAGACCACAACCCATAGAACCATGGAGGCTATATATATAGCATGGAGGTCCCTAGGACGACTGTGGCTTATAAAAAATTTCGGTTTTACTCAATTATTGAAAAAAAATAGCCAAATGAATGGAAACACATGAACTATAAACCAAAGGCTGAGGGGCCCCCAGCTGGATCAGGCCCTCTGAATAGGTGTGACAGTTGATTGGCTTGATCTGTTTGGGAGGCATCTAGGCAGTGGGACCAAGTCCTGTGCTCGTTGCATGAGTTGGCTGTTTGAAACCTGGGGCTTATGCAGGGACACTTGGCTCAGTCTGGGAGGAGGGGACTGGACCTGCCTGGACTGAGTCTACCAGGTTGATCGCAGCCCTCGGGGGAGGCTTTGCCCTGGAGGAGGTGGGAATGGGGGGTGAGCTGGGGGTAAGGGGAGGGCGTGGGAGGGGGAGAACAGGGGAACCCGTGGCTGATATGTAGAACTAAATGGTATTGTAAAATAAAAGGGACGAGGGAGAAATATAATTCTAAGCTCAGAAAATTTACAAAACAACTAAGTAAGCCATGAAATCCCCAAAGTAGCTGGGTGGTGGTGGTGCACACCTTTAGTCCCAGCCCTTGGGAGGCAGAGCCAGGAAGATCTCTGTTTTAGGGGAGCCAGAATTACCAGACAACTTAACCTGCTATAAAGCCTCTGTGATTTAGACAGTGATGTGTGATATATAAATAGATAAGTAGACCAGTGGAACAAAGCAGGAGGGTCCAGGTTAGAGTGCATACCTATAGCAGTGTAGTACAGAGTAGAAGTCTGAATGCATTTCTTTGTGATGTGGGGCATTAGACCCAGGGCCCTGGACGTGTGAGGCAAGTGCTTTACCATCAAGCTGCATCCTCAACTCTAAGACTAATGTTTTAGCAAATGGTGCTGAGACAACCAGTAGCTTTTAGAAAAAGATAAAATAAGACACATCATACAACAAACAGAAAGATAAATGCCTAACAATTAGTAATCCACATGTAAAAATAAACTATGTATTTGCCATGTCTGAATTCTTTAATATTGATACAGGAAAAGGTTTTATTAGAATTGCTCAAAATCTAGATGTGGCAAAAGAC